AACTTATAAGTTATACTTAGATAGCTAGCCTATTTACTTAACTAAGTAAAATATTTTTTTTTTATAATATAGTAGTTAATAATATAGTCTAGTTTTTACTTTAGATTATTTTCTCTAGGTTAAAGAATAATAGATTTTAGTTACTTTATAGCTTTCTTTCTAAGGCTTTAATAAGCTAATATAGAAAACGTTATATATCTATAAGTATTTCTTAGGTAACACTAGGTAATAAGCTTACTTACTTATAGCCTATATTACCTAAAATAGTCTAATAAACTTAGGTGCTAATTTACACTATATAGCTTTAAACTATAAGTTCTTTATAGATAATAAGACTAAATCTTCTTATTTAAACACTATAGGTTTATAATATTTATTATAGCTCTTTGTTTACCTTTTAATAGCTTATTACTATACTTATACTAAATCTAGCTATAACTTATATAACTTCTTTAGGTAATATTAGATACTTTATACTTTTTTTTCTTAAATCTTGTCCTTAAGATTTAGGTAGAACTTTAGTAAGTACCTTAATAAGGCCTAGAAAAGGCTATATTTTATTATTATATTTTTAGTATTATTTACTATAAATCTACTAATAGTAATAAATTAGGCTAATAAGACTTATTACTTATAATAAAATAGTATAGGTAATACTTTATAACCTTATTTATAGCCTTTATTTACTTGTTTATTTATAAGTAAAAAGCTATTAAAAGCCTTTTTTTAATCTTAGACTAGTAGTATAAGTTTAACTAGTATTTACTTATAAATACTAATTCTTTATTTAATATAACTCTTTATAGTATACTAAACTTAAGCTTTACCTTCTTATATAGTATTTTAGTAATCTCTTCTATAGTAATTAATATACTTACTACTATATATATATAGTACTTAGTAAAATAGTTAATAATTACTAGGATTATGTTTACCTTTTGCCTCTTAGTCTATACTAAAAGTAAACTTATAATAAAGTCTATTAAGATCTTTTTAAAAGGCTTCTAAAGTAATAGTAATAACTATAGGGTGCTATATAGCTTATAGGTCTTAGCCTTTATACCTAGGTATATCCTATAAGTATTAATATACTCCCTTATGTTTTACTTTAGCCTTTTCTACTAGAACTTTTACTAGATTAGCTTTATAGTCTTATCTTTACTAAAGTGTTCTACTAGTAAATTATTATAATAAAGAGAGATTATCTTTTCTCTTAAACTAGCCTTCTATAGAACTACTAACTAATCCTATAGAGAAGTAGACTATTCTTAATAGTCTAGTCTTTCTTTTTAGCTTTAGTTACTTTTTACTACTATTATATCTTTTTATTATCTTACTATAGATAGCTAATAGTTTTAACTAATAGCTTTAATATATCTTCTTAATAGGTATTTTTTTTACTAATACTTTTTTTACTTTACTCTAAGTTAAGACTTAGACTTTATAAACCTCTTAAACCTTAGTCTAATTTACTATATCCCTTTATATTAGTGCTTTAAAGTAAAGATTATCTAATAGGTTAATATTTACTACCTTTTTAGTATAATAATTTAGCCTTCTTAATAGTTTATTTATAAGGTTATACTTCTTCTCTTAATAATAAATAGTAAAGTTATATAAAGCTAGTATTATATACTATCTTACTTACTTACTATTTAGTTACTACTTACTTATAAAGTACTATAGATTATTATAATTTATTAGGACTTCTAGGGGTTTTATTACCTCTTTAATATAGTGTTACTATATTTTAAATAACTTTATAATTATAAGTATCTCTTAATCTAGGGTATATAATTTAATTTAGCCCCTTAAACTTCCTTAACTAGAATATAACTAAGTACTATAGTTTATCTTTATATAGCTATAATAGTATTTCTACTACTATATAATATAATATATTTATCTTAATTTAGTTAGTAACTTAAGGTTAAAATAATAAAGAAGTAGTACTATTTTAAAGGCTAATAAGAGGTATTTAAATACTACCTATTCTCTAAGATTAAACTATACTTCTTTTAGCTTTTTATTACTTTTATTCTCTTTAATAGGTCTAATAATAGGCTTATTATTTTATAAAATCCTATATAAACCTATAGTAGAAATTATAAAACCTAAGAAAAACTTAGACTTCTTAATATATAGTAGGTTTTAGCTAAGAATATACTACTTTTACCTTCTTTAGGTCTATTAAAACCTTGTTAATAAACAAGATAAACCCTAAGAACTTTACTTACTGTTTATAAAATTTATACTTCTTTAGGTTAGTATATAATATATTATCCCTAAGTGCTATAAGATTTTTAGTAAGTGTTCTATATAGGATTCTTTATCTTTTAAAAAGATTAGAATATTATCTAGGTATATAATATAGAATATATTTATTAACTCTTCTAAAATAATATTAATAAGGTTTAAAAAGTTACTAGAGTATTAGTTAAGCTAAATAGTATTACTATATACTTATATAACCTATAATAGGTCCTAAATATAGTCTTTTATTTATCTCCTTAGTAATCTAGACTCTATAGTAAGTATCCTTTAAGTTAATCTTAGAGAAGTACTTTATACTTATAATCTTATTAAAGATCTCTAAAATTAGAGGTAAAAGATAGTAATTTTTACTAAAACCTTATTTAGTCCTTAGTAGTCTATATATAAGCAAAGAGTACTATCCTTTTTTAGGATAAAGATTACTAGTGCCTTTACTAAACTTTAAGACCTCTAAATATAACCTAATTATAGGTTTTTTTTAATATACTTATAGAAAGTCTCTAATTCTTTAGTAAAAAGAAGTAGATTAGCCTAAATAGTACTTTTTTTCTTTTATAATATTAATCTTATAATCTATAGGTCTCTTAGTAGAATAGCTAATATACTATTTATACTAAAATGTCCTTTACTTTTTTAACTCTTAAGGAATTATTAGAATTTTTATTATTATATTATTAAAATCCTTGTTTAGTAGTAGTAATAACTTAAGTAAAGTTACTATAGTAAAAATATAGCTTTTAATTATAATTACTTAGTAAACTTATATACCTTTAGTACTATTTAATCTTTCTAAATATAACTTTAAACTACTATATCTTATTATAACCTCTAAATAAATATTTATATCTTTAATTATAGCTATTAATAATAATATAGGGCTACTTTTTAGCCTTAGGTCTTAATTAATAGTAATATAGTCTTAAGTAAATTACTTAGTTATTCCCTAGGAATTAGTTACTATTAAAAGACTTTATAGACACTATAGGTAAGCACTATTATACCTTTAGTGCCTTAAGACTAGAATACTCTGTTTACTTTATTTAATCTTATTTTCTTTATAAATTTATATAAGATAATATTATATTTTACCCTTAAATCTAAATTAGGAATAAATCTAAGGATCTTTAATAGGTTTTAACCTATATTATAATATAAAAACGTTATACTATTAGGAACATTAGATAAGATAAAGTAGTTAAGTCTACTTTATTTTTACCTTATTTCCTAAGATTAGAAATAGTTTAAGATATAGTAGTAGCCTATTTTACTTTTATTAGGTTAAGTATAGTCTTATAAAAAGTGCCTTAGCTTATTATAATTATAGTATACTTAGTAGGTTTTTATTATTTATAACTTTAGTTAGTAGTTATTATTAATACCTTAATTTAATAAGGTATTTCTTTCCCTTGTTTTTACTACCTTTTTAAATATACTTTAATAGTCTCTTAACCTATTATATTAACCTTTATACTCTCTAAGCTAGCTTTACTATTTCTATATATATTTTTAGTAGCTTTACTACTAATTTTTATACTTTATCTTAGAGTTTATTAGTTAATTAATAATAAAACTTTAGGGCTTATTCTTTTTTAGTCTTTTATTAAATTCTTTTTTAAAAAGTTAAGATATATATAAAATTACTTAGGATCTTAACCTTCCTTTTACTTTACTATAACTATAAAGTATATAACGTTTAGCTCCTAATAAATAGTGTCCTTAAGAAAGGTTTTAGTTTATTCTAAGAAATAATTAAAGTCTTTAGCTTTTTCTTATTTTTCCTCTTTAGAAAGTTAATATATTATCTTATTTTACCTAGTATTTATTATCTATATTATTTTTACTAAAATAATTCTTTTTTTAGTTTTCTAAACTTTTAAGGTACACTAGTAATAAATATATATAAATTATTAATCTATACCTTTTACTATTATAAGCTAGACTTTAACTTTAATTTACTTATTTCCTTAAGGGTGTATTTTTTTTTACTACTTAACCTTAAAGTGTTAAAGTATTATTAGCCTTTTATTACTTAGGTAATTAATTTTTTTAATTATAAAACTTCTAAATTTTTTATAGTTACTACTTTAACTTGCCTCTTAAGCACCTAAATACACTTAAGGATAGCTTAAGAGATTAAGCCTAATATAGTGCTTAGGCTACTCTACGCCTAGCTATTACTACTATTTCTAGGTATATATAGTGTTAACTTAATAGCTTCTATTATATAGGATAAAAGATAAATAAAGAAAATAAGAATTATAATAGCACTAGTAAAAAGAAGTAATAATTAAAATATAGGTCCTATATTTTATAGAAGCTAATTCTTAACCTAGCTATTACTAGCCTTTTGCTAGGGGGTTAGTACCTTTTTAATGTTGCGTTTATCTAGCCCCGCTAGGTAAAACGCTTACTAAACTATATTAGGAACAATGTTCCTTTAACCTGCTAGGTCTACCTAGGACTTTAGGGTAATTACCTATTGTCCTATGACACTAAGAAACTTATTTTAAGTATTATAACTCTTTAGTTTAATAGTATAAAATAATAAGTATAATAATTATCTTAGAATAAGACTTATACTCTTTTAAGAAGACTTTAGTATATCTAAAGTACTCTTATAATCCTTTAGATAAAATCCTAAAGACAAGAGTTCTTTTTAAATATACTACTTTATAATTTATTAAGACTTTACTTTGTTTTCTTTAGATATTTCCTTATTTCTTCTCTTTTTAGAATAGTTATTTAGATTTAATAATTTAGAGAAGAGATAAATAGAAGTAATCTAGGAACTCTAGTTTCTAGTACCCTAGAGATATTACGTTTAAGGTATTAAACAGCCTGTAGTAGCCTTAATGATATCTACTATTGTAGTAGGGGGTCTCTTTATCTTTACGGCTTACACAAGCCAACCTGCTGGAAGTACCACTTGTGTGCCTCGACGTCAAGGTTAGTAAACTGGGTGCCGCTATTACAATCCGTGTTATACTTCCCCTGACAGACTTTGACATCTTCAGGCCTGTAGTCTACCTTCTCGGCGCCCCCCAGCGAGAGCCAGTACTCTGTGTCGACGTGGTAGTAGCCTAAATCGTGACCCGGCAGCCGCGGGACCGGGTCATCCCAGTGGGTGACGCGAAACGTCTGGCCGGGCAGACCGTTGAAGAACTCGACGAACTCCTCGTTGCCGATGCGCGGAGACCCGTAGAGGTAAGAGTCAACAGGGATCCCCGTTTTCTGGCGGAGGTGGGCCGCCGACAGCGTGGCCAGGGCCGCACCCAGACTGTGGCCCGTGGTGACGACGGTGTAGTCAGGGTAGTTGCCACGGAGTCCGGGGACGACCGCCATAACGAACTGCTCGACGGTGGACCAGGTGTCCTGGAATCCGTTATGAACCTTACAGCCGGAGCACAGATCCGAGCCTACCAAGTCGGCTTTGATGCTGTGTGCCGATAGGTGAGTTATAACGCTGTCGTGGCAGAAGGTCAATAGTTGGGTACTAACTTGTTCATCCAGTCTCCGCTGCCGCTGGTGCCGCGGAAGGCGACCACGATCATCCGTGCGGTGTAGTCGAGGGCGATGTAGCCCCCACTCTCCCGTTCGGGAGACCTGCAGCAATTCATGTCAGTCCAATCGACGCGGGTGTGCTCGGACTGGTGGCGATGTAAGACGCGCTGGCTTACTCTAGAGTGGTCACAATGTGGGTGTCATGCGTTTCAATGTCGGGGCAGGCATTGTTACTACAGGAGATCTTGGTGGACATTTGGAGGGGGTCCGAGTTGCACCAGGCCGCCGACGTGTATTGAATGAAGGTGTGGAAGTTGTTCATCATGACCGGCGTCACAGCACCCGAGATCGCGCTGCCGCCGGAGGTGCCGACGGAAACGCCGCTGGGTGCGCCGCTGGATGCGCCGCTGGATGCTACAGAACGCGTGGTCAGTGTCCGACGCAGAGGAGAGATGCTGCGTCACTCACAATGACTCTGTCCCATGTTGGTGGTTGGTATCGAATGAGTGACTGAATGAGTGACTGAACGAGTGACTGGCGAAACGAGGGATTGGCTGAATGAGTGAGTGGAACAAGTGGAAGAGGGAACCGGTAAGTGGCTACTTATGGGCTGACAAGCCCAGGTAAGGACGATAACAGGTCTCCCAACAAGCTTGCGGGTATCCAAAGACTAAATACGAAGTTGCAACTGTGGGTGACAATGTTTCAACAAGCCTGTGGGGTTGGATAAGGTGGTGGTAATTGGCCCGTTTGGTTCTAGTACTTGGCCTGTATCTTGTTGAAGTGTGGGCACATACTCAGTGGGCCACCCGGCTATTGGCCCAAATAGGCAGTGCCGCTTAGGCAATGTCCCTAGGTAGCATTTTTAGGGTGGATTGGTCCACTTGCCCCTTAGAAGTACGCTTGGGCCGAAACCCCGCAGCGATAGTTACATATAAACATTGTACAATCAATCAATAGAGTAAGGATGTCGCTCCTACGAATACGCACTTCATCAGATGTGGGGCAATGTGGCAGCCTGGCAAAGCTGCCGAAAGTGGTTAGATACGGGCCAGATACGCATACTCGGGTAGAAGGACACAAGACAAGAAGCACTATGGAGCACGAAGTCCAAACCAAGAGTAGATATTGACCGAGAATGCCAGCTCATCTTAGTGAAAAGCAGGCTAACCCAGGGCACAGCCACAGACTCTGACGAAAGGGGAATAAAAGTCGCATCGTAAGGCCTATGCATGTCATGATGCCAGTCCCAGCGTCACCGAAACAGGCGAGAAGGCAGGGGCTGGCTGACGCTCGGATCCGTGGTTCTTCAATGGCAGCTCCACCCGACGACGGTAATGTGCTTGGGCCGCCTCGGGGACAAAACGGCGATTGCCTGCCCGCGCTAGGATGAGAGCCAAACGCTCCTGTATGCGCGCAAAAAGGTGCGATGTTTCGGTCAACGGCTGTGGCGTGGCGCCGCTAGGACGAGCTAGCGAAGCGGCGCGAAACAGCAGTGGTTGCTTGTTGAGCGCTGATTTGGCGAAACAAACCAAAGACAAGCCGATCAACCTGCCATCCGATCTTTGAGTATGGGCCATGGATAGCATGCTATATCATCTGTGGGTATGGATCATGGATGGCAAGCCATCCCATCCATGGCTGGCATTGGCCAGTCAGGGGAGGCTCCCGAGTCAAGCAATAGCCAGTCACGGGGAGCTTCACGAGTCAAGCAGTACTACGCGATGTGGTATTAGCAGATAAGCTAACAGGCACCTTTTGATAGCTTTATATCCGTAGCCTCTAACTGAGTCTAGCAAGAAGTCCGGAGACAGACCGAAAAGCACACGCATAGACCCAAAAGAGTATTTACTTTATAGATTACTGTTTTTGTAAATAAAGAAAAAAAAAAACAGAGAAAAGCAAGAATACCTATCTAGATTTAAGGTTAGACGCTAGGATCTAGGGTCAAGTTAGGGTTTAGGGTTGGAACTTAATTAGTTCGGTGTTAGGAGTGTAGATATGAGTACTAATAGGGCTGACAAGTGGCGGTAGCGGCTGGAGGGTTGTGAAACTACGAAAAGGTAGCTGTTAAGCTACCTGCTAGGGTCTCACGCCCCGCGCTGCGATGAGTGTGACCAGGGTTGCTATCCCGGAAAGCATCAAACCCCAAAGCCTCCGCTTTCGATCATACCAGGTTTCTTGCTCGACGCAGAAAAGAGCCCTTCTCCCCTTCCTTCTGCATCTGCTTAGCCTTTTCCACCTCGCGTCATCCAGCTCCCTTGCATTCTTAATCGCTGGCGATACGATATGCTTTCATCATTCCTTTTTACTTTCTCAGCATTGCATACTCCCTCGACGGCTTTGGAAACTTGTGCTGGACCAACAACCTGAGATGGACAGCACTCTCCCCGCCAGCTCGCCCGACGACGAAAGAGGCACTCAGCTGCTCTACATCGCCGTTATATTCACCGTTATTAGTATTGTCTCTCTCGGTCTGCGATGTTACACTATGGGCGTCATCCTCAAGAGGTTCTTCCTCGCGGACTGGGTCGCCGCCCTGACTGGCGTGAGCCGCGTCTCCTTTAAACCTAAGAACCCTCAGCTGACAAGCAACAGCTCAACCAATGCGCCCTTTGTGCCTTCACCGTGCTAGGCGTGCACTACGGCCTAGGCAAACACGTGGATGATGTTTCGCCGGAGAACAGAATCCAGGCGCTGAAGTGGAAGTGGGCAGCACAGGTCTCGTACGTTGTGGGGTCGACCCTCATTAAGTTCATTGCCGGCCTGCTTCTGTTGCGGCTCTTTACGGGCCAAAAATGGCAGCGAAACAGCATTATCGTGCTCATGGTCCTCCTCGGTCTGGTTCAGACCGCCTATCTCTTTATTGCCATCTTTCAGTGCACCCCAATCCCTTTTTACTGGTACCGATTCACGCCCGATTCGCCCGTCAAAGGAAAATGCAACAGCAGGATCCTGGCTATCGTCCCCAGCTACATTTCTATACTCCTGGGTGTCTTTAGCGACTGGTATCTGGCTCTACTACCTATAACGCTTGTGTGGGGAATGCAGATGCAAAAGAAGGTTAAGATATCCGTCGTCGGGATTTTGGCTGTTGGCTCCATGTGGGTGCTGTTCTTCCCCTCTAAACCGCGTGTTCGTGCTGACCATTACGCCGCGCTACAGGGCCTCGCTCGCCAGCGTCGCACGTATCCCTTACGCAAAGCAACTCCTCTCGAGCCCTGACTATCTTGTTAGTTTTACGGACCTTGCCATCTGGAGCATCGTTGAATGTGCCTTGGGCCTCATGGCGACGTCGCTGGCCACGTTGCGGCCGCTGTTCGTGCGGCTCAACGTACTAGTCAGCACGCATGTCTTGAGTACGTTCCAATTAAGATCGCGTGCCGCGCAAAGAAGCGCCGCTGCTAGGCTTGGCTCTTCGCAAGCGCCATTAGAGCATCCTACTGCTCATTATGATGACGTTCCTCCAATATCAAAACTACAGTCATTGAAATCAGAGATCTAGCAATATAAGCTTCTAGGAGTGTAAAGTAAATGCAAACGTATAGAGCTAGACCTAGTAATAAGAGGTTAACTTTACTAAGTTAGATATTTTTTGGTGTCTAGCCTAGTGAGTTAGAATCAATTGATAGAAAATATCTTAAGGGTCTCTTCAGTTGAGATAACTAGATATGACCAAAAACAAAGATAGAGCAAGAATAAGAGTAAATATAAGTATTACTAAGATATTAAAGACCAAGCGTGCTCGGTATACAGACCCGTGTGTAATAGGGCATCGTCAAGTCCTGTAGTCTAATGCCATATTCGGTGTGTTTCTGCTGGTATCTGTTTATGCCACGGGGAAGAAGCTTGCTGTTGTTGTTGTTGTTGTTGTTATATTTAACGCCGGGCCGTTCCTGTAAAGGACAAAGGGCGCCTGAGGTTGCAGGTTTCTAGCTAAGTAAGTACAATAAACACTAACAACAATCCCTCTCTGTCACAATCGGTATGTTCAATGCCATCGCCCATCATGGGCTGGTGGGGAAGAAGGGTGCGTATAGGAGCTGGGCCTCAATGAATCCTGATCATGGTGGTGATTCAATGGCTAAAACTGCAAAGATGACGAGGTTTCAAAAGTGGTTTATATTGGAGTCTATTACTTTATATTGAGAGATAGATGGCAAAGACGGGTCGTGAGAGCACACGCTATTAAACCCGCGCAAGCTATACGTGGAACATACGACAATAACAGAAAAAGAAAACAGAACATCATGAAGATTCGGTCATCACTCAATCTCGCTACCGTTCTTTAGCTAGAACTTGATGGAGTATCCTGAAAAGGCACCAGGGGAGTCTCGATCCCAGTCACAACTAGGCAAAGAGAGTTGAGAGGAGGTCTTGGAGAGGCGAGACAATTTCCACAGGATATGGTGGAGACTTCGACGTTGGTAATACACGAGGCACGGGTCTGGCTTCTCTCTACCCTTCTATTTCTGCAGCACGAGGAGTATTTTGCAGAAAGATTAAGGAGTATAAGTGACAGGAGGCTCGCTACCTTAGCGTCCGTGAGTGACATTTAGAACCAGTGGGAAGATGGAATGAGGACGGGAGACAAGAGGATGATAAACAGATTTGTGATTTTCTATTTTTAGCGCTTTTTGTCTCGTATCTTTGGGCATATCAGTCCCATCTTTTCCAGTCATGTCGCTGTTGAGACGAGAATCAAAGACTTTGGAGGGCCCCGGGCAGTTGATGTTGTTGGAGTCCACGAAGTTTTGGGCAAGACTAATGATGGTCTGCTGAAGAAAGACTTGACCAAAGGTGTCAGGACATCTGGCTTGAAATTTAACGATCAATTTAACAACGCCCTTATTTGACCAGGTTCCTCTTGAAACATGCGTAAATAACCCTACGCTAGCTAGTCCTCAGTCTACCGACGTTGGAAGGGATGGATCGCATGTACAGGCCATACCACAGAGGAGATCAAGTTCCTTGATGACGACGTCCGCATAAGTTATGGGCTTTTCCGAGCTCTGCTTTGACCCTGCCATGGGCTCCTGCCGTAACCTGTGACTCTCACTAGTGAGCGATATCGGAGCCAGTGTACGGCGTCCCAACGGGCGTTTGCGAAGGCTTCATTCTGTGCCGTCGTTAATGATATCCTTCTTTGTCGTATCCGGGCATCATGCCACTCTCCATGCTACTCGCGGATCTGTCCTTTCTTCAATTACAGCCATAATAGGTGGAGGGACGGGGTGGCAACTACCAAGCTGACCCAGAGAGGCCTGCTACGACAGTAACTTGGACTGATCTCAGTATTCTTGATTTTCTGAAAGGCCCGGGACGAAATTGTTAAAGAATTATCCCTGAGCAGCAATATCTCTGGCGTCCTGCTGTTTTTGCTTTTCAGCTTTTAAAGACTTTCGGGAGAGGTTGATGGTGTTGCTCCTACATAACGGAGAGGGAGTTGCGGCACTGTACCGGCAGTCATTGTGCGTCGTCAGGAACAGTCAGTAAACCTAGGGGCTCGTAAAGAGACGGGGAAGGATACATCACGGGAATCTAGCGACCTTCGGTGGCCCAAGACAAAAGGTCTCTTATATTAGTTAAAAGCGTCCTGTTCATGTATGCGTTTCCCAAGGTGGAATACATACATGTAGCGTGGGTATCTTGGCAGCAGCCCACGATGATGGCCTTTGCCTCAACCGCTGCCCTCTCTGCCTCCGCCTTGTCCTTGAATAGAAGTAGACAGTCATTCTCCTTGATTTTAGAGAGCACCATTGACGTAAGAGATAGTGAATCGTCTAGGTGATAGAGCGGGTACGTTTTACGTTCGCGGATGCGGGCTTGGGCCTCCTCGCGGGTCAGGGTTGGTTGGTGTTTTGGCAGGGTTGTGTTGACGCTGAAAGACACGTGGCGGTCGCCGCCTAAGGGCGTGCAGTCACATTCGATCTCGAACTACGGCCGCACCTTGTCGTTCCAGATGGGAATGGTGACCGTTTTTGTCTAAGTGTAGGAGGCAGCTGGAGAGTATGTGGGTAGCTGGTGTTGTTAGGGGATGTTGAGGGACTTCTCAAAGGCCTGGAGGCTGGGCATTCGTCCATGTCGGGCATGATGGGTATAGGGAGATTTGTCTAAGGGGGTTGAGTGACTCTGATAGCCAAACTTCATCTGTCTCTGTAAGGACCACTGCGCTGCCTTTTCAGGCCTCAGTTTGGTATTTGTGGAAGCAGCCGAGAGTCAATTGGCGTGACCTGCGCGGCCTCGGCGTGCCGCAGTAGATGGTTTTGCAGGGGTTCAAATAACTTCGAATCAACAGCGAGATTCACGGCCACCTGTACCTTTAAGGCCTTTTCGAGATCATCCAGGTTGACTGGGTCTCTGTTGCCCGGATGGACGTGCGGATTGATGACGGCAAACCCTGCTTCGTCACCGAAGAGTTCAAATAGGCTGCGATGAAGCAGCAGTTACTACCACTTCGCCTGACACTCTTGTGAAGTCCGAGGAAATTTCAGAGGACATATACCTAGATACTAATTAAGGGAAAATGATTCAGTTAGAGAACTACAGCATCAACAATACCCCAAGGTTAAAGAGATTGTCCACCAACCTGACAATAACCACTCAAGCCCCGCCAACTAAGAATATTTTTCAGCCAATTCTATGGATTTGTCTATGGGTTTGGTAAAGGGAATTGGGGCAGGTACTATATAAATTGAACACGGGGAGAAGGAAATTATTCAGACGATGTTAATCTACTTGGGAATAGCCTAACATTGAGCAAGGGCCTGGAGCAAATGACATATAACCCCATCGCTGATCCTGTCTGCTGCAGTGGGGCATGACTGCATAGTACAAGTCAGTAGTTGTTAGGATTCTGAGAAGAATGGGCGTTGATCGTGGGAAACTAGCTAAACAAGTAGCATTTCCTGAAGCCCACTACTAGTGAAAGCTGTAAAGTAACAGATGGCACTATAAGCCCTTAAGTTATTAAACTATGTCTTTACCTTCTATAAGGCTCCATAGAAATTAGTTTATTCATTTTCTTTTGATACAGTATATGCCCAGTTAACATCTTCCCACCCTGGCTTTCGCCGGATTCTTACCAAGGTAGTCTTCTGCGCGCTTGTCAGCGGCTTACCAACCGCCTCGGCCAGGTTGTTATTAATCGGCGGCACCTCTAGGCTGCCACCCTCCGGGGCCTCAATGTCAAACCCGAGCACCAGGGCAGCTAGCGTCCCCAAGATCTCGGCATCGGCGAAGAAGCGGCCGGGACATAGGTGCTTTCCGCCTCCGAAGGGGTTAAAGGCACGGTTCTGTGCCCGCTCCCTTTCTCTATCAGTTGTCATGAAGCGCCTCGGGTCAAAATCATGCGCGTTTGCGCCCCATACTTCGGGGTCAAAGTTTGTGATGATTGCAGGGATCTGGATGTTTGCGCCCTTTCTGAGCAGATACGTTTGCTCGTCTCGAACCTCTCCCGATGCTGAGGATGGTCTGTAGCTGATTACCGTGTCCTCGACGACCCTGCGCGTGCCTGTCGAGCGGTTGGTCAAGCGCATGACCTCCTTATAGGTCGACACTAACAGCGGACACCTTGTTTGGAAGTTGGCAACTGTGAAGGTGCACGTTTTAGTTCGAGGGCGTTTGAAGTCAGTCGAATGGTTGTCGGTGGCAGCGATGCCTTCCTCCTGAATAACAGCAATGGCAAGGAGCTCCTTTCCAAGGTCTGCGACGAGCTCTGTGTCGCGGAAAACGTAACACATCATCCAGAAGAGTGTTGGGATGGCGTTTGTAACGCTGACGAAGAGCATCCCAAACTCATGGTCGGCGATGTCGTCGATGGGTAGCCCCCATTTGCGGTTGACGGCCACACGACGTTTGATGACGGCGCTGACATCAGTCATATTGTCAAAGTCTTGATGGAAGTACTTCCTAAGCGCTTGCTGGACTTTGGCACGGCCGTTGTAGGCTTTCCTTGCGGTCAGGAAGGGGAAAGGCTTCATTAGAAGTTGAGCCTGACCACCATCGTAGCCCCTCCACGTTTTAAGGGTCAACATGTTGATCTTTGTCTTCAGGAAAGGCTTCGGGAGAGCTGCTTACCAAAGATTTTGACTCAACGTTGGATCGGCCATGAGAGAACTCTTGTCCCCGAAAAGGGAACCCACAGTGGCCATCGTGAACGAATCCCTCAGCCACAAATACAGGTTTCTGGTTTCAAAATCATTGCCAATAGCATTTATGGTTTTGGAGATTCTGTTCAAGGCGTAAGTGTTCATCTCCTGCAGGTCGGGCCCGGGAGCCAGCGATGCGAAAGACCGGTGCTGGTCATCAATCCATGCGGTGGAACCGTCCACAGGCGAGGTATGGAATAAATCAATAACGTTGGGTCCCAAGCCGACCATCTTCTGTGCGAACTCTGCCATGACGGGGTATAAGCTCAGAGCCTTGTTCTTCATGGCAACCTGGATAAGCTGGGGCGCTTTGATTATGTATATCTTTTGGGAGCCACCCATTGATATGGAGAATATTGGCAGGTTCGGATTCTCGAGCCTGTTAAATTTGCATGACCATGAGGCTCCGATGTTAGTCATGACGCCAACTACAATGATCATACGGTGTCTGGGGGAGTTGGGGGTTGAGGACGGGCATTTGACATACCCAAGTCGACGATAGTAGTGTTGTCTTGAGCCCAAAAGGCCGAAAATGTGGCCAACAAGTGGTATTTTGGGCTTCAGTACTTGAGGTTCCCTTGGGTCTTGTTTCTCAGCTCCAAGCCAGCTTCCGTTGACGAGGATGGCAGCAACCAAGAGCAGAAGCCACCACGAATCATAGCCATGGCCAGCGAACAAGTTTTTAACCAAGTCAAGCAGCGGCATCTTGACAATTGGATACCCAGAGGAGTTTGAGAGGTGCAACAGGTCCGGACAAACTGGACGTGTGAAGAGACGCGTCTTGCTCTGCGTTTGGTATTTACAACGTGTTGCCTTTTAGCAGATGCTGTTACGTAACTAAACAATACTATTAGTTACGTAGGTAGTAATAGTAGCTTATATATCGTAACATACCCCCTGGATTTAACCTAGAAAGTTAAATCTAAACACACTTTTTGATGAAAACCTTGTTAGGTACATCTCGCCAATCATACGTAGTAAAGATCCACATACAGTGGGGTGTTAGAAATCATGGTACACGCTACTTAATAACGCGTTATAACGTGTCCTCTAACATTTACCTCTTCTTCTTATTTTTCTTATAACTTCAGTAAATTATAGCTAATTTATAAGTCTTTTATTCTTATCTATTAGAAAGTCATAGATTTTAGTATAAGCTTACTAGGGACTAACGTATAGTAATTATTACTCTTATATTAGGCAGTAGAAGCTATTATAATATAGTAGCCTTATTTAACTACTTTATTAATATAGTTACTTATATACTTTAATAATAAAAAAACAAGTAATTTACTAAGGGTATACCCTAAAAAGAAAGGCTAAAGAAACTTTTATATACTTAAAAATAAGGTATAGTTAAATTAGTAAAAATAAACTCCTAGGTTACCTACTAATAGCTTCTTTATAAGTATAGCTATATTATAAGCCTATAGACCCTTAAGTATATTTTATAAAGTACTAACTACTATAAATAAAAAGTAATATAAAGGCTATTTATTATAAAAAAAGTAGCTACTTAATAGCTTTAATTTATATATATATAACTAAAGAATATTAAAGAATTAATAATAGTACTTTTTTTAGTAAACTTAGTGTTTATTAAAGTCTTTAAGCTAATTTTTTTTAGTAAAGTCTTAGTTTTTAAATAAGTCTTTATACTAAAATAATATAAATAATCTAACTACTTAGGTATTTAGATTACCTTAAGAACACTAAAAAAAGTAGTTTATTAACCTTATAAGTTATATTAAGGCTAATATTATAATAATAGTATAAGTAATAATATAGGAGAATAATTAAAGTAAGCTAGTCTTCTTAAAGAGAGATAACACCTTAAGAAGAAGAGAATATAGTGTTAATAGCTATATCTAGTGCCTAGAAAAAAGATATTTACCTAGCTATAATAATATAAGGTATTTTATTTAGGATAATACCTTTATTTATATATTAGTAAATATAATAAAGTAGCTCTTAGATAAGGTAGTCTCTTAAATAAAATAGCTACCTTACTTACTAGATCTTAACCTTATTAAGTATTATTAGTAAATAATAAAGTTTAACCTATAAAGACTATACTCTAATATATTTTATCTTAAGAAAAACTAATTAAATATAGGGTTATTTAAAGAGTAAATTACTAAGGCATAGGAGGTAATCCTATAGGAGAAAATTAGGGTATTAATCTATTTATTACTACAGCGCTTAGAGGTAGTTATATAAGCACAGGGTTAGTATATATAATATTAATAAGTGAACTTTTAGGTTTATTTTTACTATAGTTTAACTATATATTTCTAAAAGTTGATGGTTTTGTTGCTAGTTAAAGTGATGTAGTCATAATGTTGGTGGCTGGGAAATTAGTGGGTGTACCATGACTTTTGGCACCCCACTGTAGACTTTAGTAGGATTATTAACTAGGGGACCCTAACAGAACTTAAACCTATAGTGCTTAAGATCTATAGCTAGTTACTGCACTTAAATTAGAATATACACTATTATAGTATATAGTAGGTAGAAGCTAGGCTTACAACTGTTATGTAATAGAATAATACTGTTAGTTACATGGGCAGTAATAGTAGCTTATATATTATGACAGATGCAATGATGCTACTAAGGCCCGTGGTGACAGTGGGGCAACCCTCGATATGTAATGCTATCGGTATTCACTGCCTGATAAGCGAACTCCACACTTGGGTTGCCTGCCGAAATAGGTTAGCCGACCGCTAGGTTCTAGTTTTGGCACCTTTGCTAGGCCTCAGAAGGATTGCATGCTAGTCGTTGAGTCACCCACTGTTTGCTGAACTACCGGTATGGTTCCGTGTGTGCATGACTATAACGGACACTGTGGTCGAATAGGAACACAGTGCACAATCTCTTGGTCCGACTTTGACGCGCGTGGGCCAGTTGATGTCGATCCCTCTAGTATAACGATTAACCCGAAGCCTATTGTGCATCCATCCTTCAGCGCTAGCAGTTCAACCCAGGTCCACTGTAACGCAACGGGTATCAGCATCATGAGATGAGTGCATGTCCACCAGGACTGGGGTGAGATGAATCTATATCATTGCTCGTCATAGACTGTTAGACTGAGTTGTAGCGAGTCAGCCACAAAGTTGAACGGATTCTTCTGTTTACTTTCATTCTTGTGTGTTCCTCCTCTGCTGTCGAGCCACCCGCAAAACGCAGGGAATCTGACAGTGTACTCAGAATGGTCATATCAGACATGGTACCTCTGTCTGAGGCCTTTCCCTGGGCCGCAATGCGCCGGCAGGCCAAGGCGAACTTGACGCCCCCCACTGCCAGCTTCCGAGGCAAAACAGTACTCCTCGTTGGTGCCACCGAAGTGATCCTTTCAGATGCCGCACGCATCCTCAATCAACTCGGAGTGTCAACTCTCATCCTTGCTGTTCGCAATGTGGCCAAAGGAGATGCCCTGGGCAACAAGCTGAGAAGGAAGCGCGAGGATTTTAAAGGCTCCAAACTAACCATCAAAGTTTTAGAAATAGACCCTCTATCCTTTGATAGTGTTAACCGTTTTGCAGCTACCGTCACTCAGCTTCAGACCCGCATTAATGCTATAGTTATAGGCTCAGCCATCATGAATAACAAGACCAGAATAACAGCAGATGGCTAAGAAGAAAGTAAGTAATAGATGATCTTCATACGTCTTCCCTTTTGCTGATGCAAATGCTCTGCCCCATTTCAAGCTGCTAGCTCTAACACATTTACAACTTAGCCCTGCAGTTAGTCCATCTCTCATCGGCTCTCTTGATTCTCCTTCTGCTTTCCAAACTACTCTCCGATGGAGAGACACATCCAGTGGTCGTTAGTAGCTTGACAAGCTCGGCGATCCAGTCTGCAGCTCCGATAATCTCACTGCCGGACGACGCAAAAGACTCGTACATGGAGCAGGTCAACCGTGTCAAAGACGCCGCCATCCAAAAGAGCTACCATTACAGCATTACTAAGCTCATCCACACGAGCTGGATCAGGGAGCTCTGTCATCGCCATATGCCGGCTATAGAGGGAAGAGTCCACTTCCACCAGTTGGATCCAGGCGCCTGCCTCACGCCGCTCAGCTCGTATGTCTTTGTAGACCGGCTTCTGCTTTGGTTCATCAGCCGGCCCGGGGAGGCGTGTGCCCGGACCGCAGTGAACTCATGCTTACCCGTTGAAGAATCGTATGGGAAGCTGTTGGTAGATTATGATGTCACACCGTGAGTTCTCTTCTTCGCTCTCCCATCTAGCACATGATCCGCCGCCTGCACTTGGGGAATATTCTTGAATTCTTTACACTGACTATGATGGTGATTCAGACATCCTGGATTCTTGGATCGGTGCGTTCTCTGCCTTATGCGTGCTTTGGTCATAGTGTCATCCCATGCCAGACTTTGCGACTTTAAAAGATGCATGTGCTGACCTTCAATCTTGTTATTACCAAGGATCTGGTATGGCTTGGTGTTCCAATCTTCACCAATATCAACCCCCTCTTCAACTTTAAGTTTCGGTCCGTCATCAATCAGCTCTCTCGAGATGGTTCACCGTACTCCCTGCTGCTTCTTCGATTTAAGAATCAACCAGCATTGGAGAGTTTCCAGGATGTTCATCTCCGCGGCTAAATAAAACTGTACGGAAGAAGATCAAGGAAAGGGTGCAGAAATATGTCGCTGAAGGAAGATACGCTGGAGTAACAGTAAGAAGAAGAGGGAGAGGAAGGCTACGATGACAACGAGGAAGATTCTCAATGCAGCAAACATTACTACAGCGATGAAGAGAGAGGAGGATAATGTTAAGGACAAGGATGAGGATAGCAAAGTCAAGTTCTAACTTGCTGTCGTCTAGAAGAGAAGGGGAAGGAGATGGGAGAGTTTAACAATTTCCCTATCCACCATTGATCATTGATACAAGACACCGTTGGTGGTATGGTCCATGTACAGATCAGCACTGTTGTTGTGGATGGGAAGTGGCCCCCAGCCTGCAGCTTGGGAGTGCTCTCGCGCCCCGAGGCGCGAGGCGCAAGCCCAGAGATAGAATGGCGAAGAAAAAATAACTACGGAGTATGATGTTGCAGGTAAAATCACTGAATGCTCTGGAGCTGGTGTTCCTGGGGTTAAGGCCTGAGTAGACGTAGAAGCCAGCCGCGGCAGCACTAGTCCCTGAGACAGGAATTGTACGACTGGTGTAGGAGCATGTCCTCTAGAACAAACAAAGCATCTAGATAGAAATTGGAAACATAAATCATGTCATGACTGTGGATTCCCGTTGCGCTTAAGACGTCCCTCCAGACGATGTTACGCTAGAAGATGATGGACTGTGAGCGGACAGCCATGATGGAATGGGAATAGCGAAAAGGACGGAGCCTACAACCACATCCATTGCGTGATCTTGTTGCCCCTTTACCCTCGCCACCTTGAGCCACCATGACTGCGCCCAAGCCTCCTAGGGACCGCCACACGTTCCAACACCGACCTAGACGACCCCGACTCGCAAGCGAGACGATGAGAACGGCGCTCGGGCGCTTGCGGAGCCGAATGTCCGCAAATGTCTTCATGTGCAAGACGCGACGTCTACGAAGCATGAACGATATGGGATGTGGGCTGGGGCGGATGCTGAGACGGATGGGGAGGCAGCTGAGGAGCTAATAAAGAAGAAGTACCCTCGTTCCTACGTTACGCGCAATTGCCAAGTCGAAAGGTTTTTACAGAGAAAGAGGCGCAACGTGGCGGAGGAACATGTTGCTCAATCGGGTGGGGACCCAGACGCGGTGCCGGTGGGCACGTTAGTCTGGTTCTTGAGGACCCGCGAGGTGCGGAAACACAGAGTGGGCGTTAGGGACCCTATCAAGCAGTCTGTGGCACAGAGTGGCGCATAAGGGCTTGCCTGGGCTAATTAGGTAGTTGTGCTGAGGTGGGGGAAAAGTGCCCCTGTAAAAGCCTTACACTATGAAAAGCTTCTTCTATTGTGCTAACCTAGTGGCTTCCGCCTTAATATATGTCTGCTATCTTGAGCCCTGGACCTTGCACGAGTATTGTAGCTACTTTTGTATTAGAGACTGCAAATTTGCAACTCTCTAACTCTAACCTTGGTAGAAACTGTGAAGGATCAGCAGCGGCCCAAAAAGTAATTCATTATAAGGCTATAGTGACAGAGGGCCCTGATCTGGCTTGTGGAGGCACTCTCTTTCCATCTGCTATTAGTATTACTCAAATTCCCCCATTCATGTGTAGCGCCGTCATTAAAAACGTCTGGTCTTCTACAATACTGCAAATGTCGTTTTCGGACAACCCATCAGATAACTAGCTTAAGTTATTCACTATTCTGCCAAATAGGGTTAAGTATCCTGCTGTAACACTGTTCGGGATGCACCTAAAATCTGAGAATGAACTACGATATGTCGTTTTAGGAAATTACCCACTATCCATTTCAGCCATAACCAAGCCTATCTAGGGAGCTATCCTGATTACAGAAACTAAGTTCCTACTGAAAATTGGGAAGCTAATCCTTCGTAACGGCCCGCTCCGCGCCGGGACTTGTGGAGGATCACCCGCAACCGAGGAAGTTATGGAACTCAATCCTTTAGCCCTCTAAGTATCCGTAAAGTTTACTCTTATGATTAATACCCTAGTGCCTCGCATGCATGCATGCGAGGCACATGAACCACAGCCGATGAGGGGTTGTGCTCGATGTACTAGGGAGAAGCAAGACATGTGCATTTCAGTAATCTTTTGCTGGCTGGGCAACTCAGACGGTAACATTTGTCGTCTGCGGCCATGTCTCAGCTGGGTAAGCCTTACGCGGCAGGCCGCATCGAGCATTCGGGGCTAGCTGAAAGCGTCAATGCTTGTGTTCACTCGGAGGAATGTGTGGGTTGAATTATTTGTTAGCTACCGTATCCTCTCGTTAAATTTGCCCACCTCCACTCTGCAAGCTAACGGCAAAGGGGAAAGCGGTTGCTCACGGAGCTAAACCTATCATAGAAAGCGGTCAACCTGCTCACCCATCCACCCACTTGCCCACTTGCCCTTTATTTACTGTTCTTACGCCTTAACTTCCTGCTGACGTAAATGACTAACCCCTACTTTTGCCTTTCTAGATCCCTGTTTCTGCCAGCACGCTAGCCCTTATTTGGCGGTCTCGATGCCCCTTGCCGTTAGCTTGCAAAGTGGAGGTGGGCAAATTTAACGAGAGGATACGGTAGTAAACGAGAGTCTTGGAAAAACAAGCATTCGACGCAAATAAGTTGGGTACGCGGCCTTGCCTGACTGTTTCTGGAAGCGATTGTGTGTGAGCCTTCTTGAGACCTTGTAGACCTCTTAGTGGCGGCCGTTCAAGCGTCTGGACCTTTTGAGCGTCTAGCTTTCGCACTCTCTGCTGAGCGTGAACACATGTCCCCTCATTTGATAGTTCGAAATTAAGGCACGTCTGACAAGTTCTGAATTTTAGCCTTGCTTCACCACATTGCATTTGCAGAAACTAATCATAAGTTTTGCAGGTGTTCAATGCTCACTATTACTAGGGCCTTGAGTTATGCTAGAAAAAAGCTGAGAAGCGGCGGAATATCCAGCCACGTTCATTGACTAATGCTAGAAACTACTCAATCGTTCATTACAGATATCTATTGTTATCGATATTGGCCCTATCCGACACTAGATTTTGACATTGACCTTTTTTACAAGGTCGTTCACCGACCGGAAGAACTCGATTAAGCCCATAGACCACCATGTCCGCTTAGTCCAGCCCTCCTTAATGGGTAGTCTCTCGTCCTCAAAGATGGCCCGAACATACTTCACAGGGATAGTCTGGCCGTCACCAAAGCATCCCATCATCAGCGCGATCTGGCCGCAGTTGACCTGGTGCTGAGCAGGGCCGTACACGAGCTCCGGATTGTCGATGAGCTGTTGCTTGATCCTCATCTTGATGAAGCCGGCTAATTCCTTGATGGTGAGGGTCTCGCCGTCGTGGGAGCACTTGAGCATGTCTTGGATCAGGTCCTTCTGCGGCTTGTTGTTGCCCTGATCTTGAGCGAAGTCGCGACGTGAGAGAGAAATGTCGTGCTCAATCGCCCCATGGGAGGCAAGATTATCAAGGTTGAGATATTTTTTGCCTTTTTCGTCGTACTGCTGCGGATTCCAGCAGCCAAAGTAAGAGAAATAGGAGTAAGGGTTCTTGAGAAGACCCCAGAATCTCTTCAATGCGCTGACAGGGGGTTGGAGATGGGCCTTGTCCGGGTTGTGGTACTCAAAGTAGGTTGGGACGGCGAAAATGGAGCCGAGCAAGGGACTCATTCCCACTTGTCGCATCGCCGCCGTCAGATCGGACATGTAGATGTTCTTTCCGTCGCGCTCGATGTAGCCGTGGTTCGAGAGCGCATTGACTACTGGGCAAGGACTGCGGCTGGCACTGTCCGGGCTGCGAACATATTTGCCAACCGGAAGAGAGGGAGGCATTGCCATTGTGAGAGGGGAAAATTAAGGTGTGATTTGATGACACCAGGTAAAGAAACAGATGATCACAGCACCTATTGAGCTGGCAGAAACTGCGATATAGCAACGTTGATAAAGGACCTTCTGAAGACGAGGGGGCTTTCCTGTGGTAAAAGTACAGTAGCGATCTTATCAAGCGCCGTGGGGGAGCACAACAATTGAACCAGGATTGGGCCGCTTTTTTACCTAGGCATTTCATGTAAGAAGCTTTCTTTTGAGTACTTCTAATGCTAGCTGGGCTTATGTCTTGGCAATGTCAAGCCGCTGATGTTGACAATGACCTTGGATGGCATTCGCTGCGAGATCATCCCTGAGGTTAGCAGAATGCGTGTTTTAGGCGAGTAGTATTGAACATGTTTCTGTATTGAGCCATCACATGCCAGCGTTGGCGGGAAGCCCGCTTCTAGCTGAACCCTCCGCATCGTTTTGGGAACGGCCCGAAACTAGCTCATGAGGAGTCCGTCGGCAATCTGAGTTTGAGACAGCTTTTAGAGAAGGTCTCAGGATATAAGACAGGCTCGGTCCTTATGCTTCCATTGCAGTAGTCTCTGATAAGGGTATATAAACACCGAAACGCTGATCTATAGCAGCTGAAAATCTGCATTAGGAAGAGACTGGCTGGAGTATACCTGCCGTCGGGCAATGCACGACAATAAGGCAAAGCACCCACTTTTCGACCACCCCTGCATTTTGACCACCCAAAAATAAAGCCATCACAACCACCACCACTTTATTCAATTAACTATCCACAACCTCTTAATGCCACAATAATACAGCTTTTGGCCTCACTAGGTATATCTAATGCGCCAGATTCATCTAGCGTACTTTCAACATCGCTAGCCTCAATCTAGGCTTACTACACCTCTTTAATTATTATAAACTTTATGTTTAGATCTAGGGTAATAGCCTTCCTCTTCCTTAGGTTACTATTAGTAACTTAGGCCTAGAGGAGCTGTATCTAGTGCTTAGTAGTAGCTAACTTTAAGGCCTACTCTTAGAAGCCTTTTTTTACCTTTCTAAAGAGCTAGTGTTATATAGTAATAGTTTAATCTAGCTAGCTAAACAGTTGTAGCTAGGCATCTAGCTTCCTCCTCTTTTTAAGCGTTAACTACCTAACTACTAATAAAGTAGATAGCTAATCCTCTATATCCTAGGTACTCTTACTATTATAGGCACTATCTATACCCTTATTAAGTAGTATTAATAAGGCTAGCTTATTTAGTAATAGATAAGAGCTTATTAGAGGCTTTATAAAGGTAATAGGCTATAACCTAGTATATTTTTAGCTACTCTTAATATTACTAGTAGTTAATTTAGCTTAGTAAGCCTTTTAATAATATAATATAAAGTTCTTTTTACTAATAATAGTTAAATTATTCTACTATATAAGGTATTTAAGCTTCTTCTAATAGGCTACCTTAATAAGACTAAAGACTACTTAGTTAAAAGGCTAAAGGATATAGGAGGTATATAGTAGTAAAAATAAAAGATAAATATTATTTATATAGTATAACTATATAAAGTCTATTATTATATAGCTTTTATACTTATCTAAGATAAGTAGTCTAGCTTAATTAGGTTAAGAGAGCTTAGTTTATAGTAAAAAGACCTTTTTTAGCTATTTAATAGTAGTAGTATTAGTAGTTTATTTATTATTTATTACTATAAATTACTACTTATTATATAGGCCTAGATCTAGAGAGAATTACTACTATTAAATACTTTTACTTTTATATATAACTAAGAGATAAATAAGAATACCTTTAGTAGATATACACTTAATAATAAATACCTAGGCTTATAATCTAGGCTACTTCTTCTTTACTACCTTTATTATAGCTTTACTTAGTACTAGCCTATTATCTCTTTTACCCTTAAGGATACTAGTCTTATCTATATTATATTTATTAGCTAGTTTAATAGTAGTAATATAAGGTATAATAAGATATTTAAACTAGTCCTTAATAACCTTAGTAGATACCTTATTAATATACCTTAAATTAATAAATTAACTTCTTTAGACCTTAATAAATAGGTTCCTTTAAATAAAGCTATCTACTTACCTCTTGCCTAGAGGCTAAGTATCCTCTATAGCTTAAAGGATATAATAGGTAAAGTCCTTTAGTTATTAATAGGTTAGTAGTAGCCTAAGGTCTACCTAGGCAGTTACCTAAGTAGCTAGGCTAGCCTCCTAGCTTATAGAGAGCCTCTAGAGGTCTTTAAATACATCTTGCTGTTGTTAGTAGCCTTTTCTATAGCTTAGAAGTATTAATCGTAGTACACCCTATTAGCTAGCAGTAGCCTAAGTAAATAGGCTATTTTTAATATTCTTAAGTACTAAAATAACCTTATTTTTAGTATACTGCTTTATTATATAATAAAGAAGGGATCCTAAAAAAATAATATAGATTAATAAAGAATAGAAATTGTTGTAATAGTTAGAAAATTAGGTATAGTAGTTAATAGAGTAGCTAGGCAGCATTTTTAGGTAGTCAAAATGCAGGGGTGGTCAAAAAGTGGGTGCTTTGCCTTAGTTTCAACCAGCCACAAGTTTCTACATACGCTCAGGTTTGAACTCTAGCAGCCACAATGTCTTATTCATGATATGTGCATCGGCCATTTCATTTTGGCTAGGTTCAGCTACCGACGGGTACTATATCGCAACTCAAATTACCTATCCCCATGGTGTCTCTTTCCACGATCTGGAGGTACAGAGACCGAAGGCGACTATTTGCCCAGGACGAAAGCGTCGGCCAGGGTTCTGAACCCAGCACAATCTCAAACCTTGCACGTAATAGTATGTGTCAGAAGGTAATTAATTCGTACCAACGTAAAGGTATTGCTGGCAAGATTGTAATTCCACTTGCAAGCGGGCTGGCGGAGAGTCAATCGTAACGCCCGCGCCAAGGATGTGCTCTCGGTAATATTAATATGCCCTTTGCTTGACGTGACGACGGTATTAATATGGCTCGCCCCCGTTACCCATGATTGAGCATAAGTCACTTCGCAGACCTCGTAAATCATACCCCGGGCTCATCCAGACAGACCTTTGGCTATTTTAGGATTAGCCAGTTGTTGTATTCTTTGTTCCTTCACATTAGCAAAGCTCGCCCGACCAGCCCGCCCAGCATGGCGACACGAGCAATTGCAGTGACCCAGTCAAGGGAGGACCAGCTCATGGACCTTACCCTACAGTTGAGGAACAAGGAGAATGAAAAGAAGTACGCCCAGTTCCACGGCGATAGTCTGATCTCTGTAAGTCCTACATCGTGTGTGTCTGAACGCGTCATTGCTAACAAGCCCGTGTAGAACAAAATTACGCAGAAGGTCGGGCTGCTTGGAGATCTCACGGCAGCACTCACTCCCAGCAATTGGCGCGCTTGGGGTGACATTGCTGGAAGTTTCTTTTCCGGCAAAGGTCCTGATGTAAGTTCTCTCCTGGCTTTGGTAGCGTATCACTAACAATGTGCCTAGGAGCGTGGACTTGCCCAGATTGCTGGTAGCCTATCGAATAACAGCGCTTTTCGTGAAAAGTTTATTAACGCTCAAGTGCGTGAAAAGTACGACAAAATGCTGCATCGTGAGTATATGGACCTGCCCTGAAGAGAAGAAGACATGAAAACGTTTGGCCTTCTGCTTGTGTCTTCCTCCGCTGACGTTGTTGAAATCAGCTCCTCTCTCGTACTTGGGTGACGCCTTTCAGTACAGAACTGCCGATGGGTCCTTCAATTCAGCCCTGAACCCACACCTCGGGCAGGCTGGTGCTCCCTACGCGAAGACCGTACCATCCAAAACGGCTCCGCTTGGCGCGCTGCCTGACCCCGAAGTTTTGTTTGATCGGCTGATGGCTCGCGAGAACGGGGGCCGCCAGAGTCAGTCTGGACTATCATCAATGCTCTTGTACCACGCCACCATCATTATCCATGACATCTTCCGCACCAACGACGATGACAAGAACCTCTCGGACTCCTCTTCGTATCTGGACCTCTCGCCTCTCTATGGCTATACCGAAGAGATGGTGCGAAAAGTCCGCGACAACAAGTACAAGCTAGGCCTGCTCAAGCCCGACACCTTCGCAGAGGACCGTCTACTGAGGCAGCCTCCTGGAGTGTGTATTATGCTGGTTATGTACAACCGGTACCACAACTATGCTGCCAGACAGCTTCTACAAATCAACGAGAACGGTCGCTTCAGCGTACCAGAAATGTACAGCGGCACACAACTAGTCGCGCTAATCAAAGAACACCTTCCTGATCGGGACGACCATGGCAACAAGGCACCACTTGACTCAACGGTGGACCGTCTTTGCAATGATTACGAGCGCTTGTGGAACGAAGTCCAAGCCGCGAGGCCTCCGGATGCCCCCGATGCTGCTCTACCGCAACTCGGCCCCGAGACACCGGAGCAGACAGCTGTGCGTGAAGCAGCCGAAGAGAAGAGGAAAAATGCTCTTGATTTGATCACGGCCTTTGAGTCTCAACCCTTATACAGGGAGTTTGTGGACGTGAAACGCAAGCTGAAGCAGAAGCTGAAAGAGAAGGGCCAAAAGCTGGAACGCGAGTCGCCAGCTCATTTGAAGTCCTTTGAGAAGAAGTGCAAAGACTTCAAGATTGCTTGGCAGGCTGCGTGTGACAAGCAGGACGACGATCTCTTCAACACTGCCCGCCTCATCACGCAGGGTATGTATGTCAATATTAGCATTCACGACTATCTCCGTGCCTTGATGGGCTTCCACCAGTTTGACACAAACTTTACCCTCGATCCGAGGAAGGACTTTGACCAAAAGAAGACCACCCGAGGCATTGGTAACCAGGTCACTGTCGAGTTTAACCTGATCTACCGCTTCCACTGCGCCATCTCGCTTCGTGACGAGAAGTACGTAGAGGATTTTATGAAGGCCACTCTCGGCATCGAGAAGCCCGACCGCCTCTCCCTGGCAGAATTTCTCAAAGTGATGGCATATGGGAAGCAGAAGCACGAGGAGCCCTGGCAAGTCACCTTCGGCATTCCGGATGTTCCCGCCACGAAAACAAGTCCCGGTTCAGAGGACGGGAATAGCACCGAGCGGAGCAGAAATGGCTCAGACAGTGGCATCTCCATGGACGGCATCGGTATAGACGTCGACGTCGCCAAGGCCATGAAGCCCCTGGCCGTCGCCACCGCCTCTGTCGCGAACCCCAAGCTCTTCACACGCAACGAGATCACAAACCTTTTTAATGACGAGCAGATGCTCAATGAGCTGACTGCGGCCATGGACGAGCCTCTATCCAACTTTGGCCCGCGAAACGTGCCCAAGTGTCTCAAGCCCGTTGAGATGATGGGCATTATGCAGGCTCGCAAGTGGGAAATCGGAACACTGAACGATTTCCGTAGCTTTTTTGAGCTTCCCGTCCACACCACGTTCGAGAGTGTCTCTGCAAACACGGACA